AAAAAAAAAAAAAAAAAAAAAAAAAAAAAAAAAAAAAAAAAAAGGAAGGTATATTAGCTTGGCTAAATAGAAATAGTAGCTTGATTTGCTTCAGCTTTTAACTCTCCTAAGTAACTCAAAACTATTGTAAGAGTTCTTTTATGCCCTAAACTTTGGTGGGGAGGAGCTGGAAGGAAACTGTAGAGGATTAACCAATCAAAGAAGTTCTGTCGTCCTAGGTCACTTGTGTATAAATTAAATAGCCTAAGTACTTGTCAGGTGAAAGGAAATGCACTCCTGCTAGCACAGATTGATGCAGTAGTTGTCTACAACGTTACTTCCGTTCCAGGTTTCAGTTCCCTTGTCAATGAGAGGCAGTGCTGGAATACTCTAAGATAGGAAACAGGAGGGGCTGCCAGCCAGACAGATGGCTCAGCCGTTAAGAGTGGTTGCTGCTTTTCCAAAGGACAAGAGTTCAGTTCCCAACACCCACATCAGGAGGCACACAACTGCCTGTAACTTCGGCTCTAAAGGACTCAGAGCCCTCGTTTGGCCTCCACAGGCACCTCCATAGTCCTTGCGGTTTATCCAAAGAGAGGATGACCTGGAACTTTTTATCCTACTCTCTCCTTTCCCCACGTAGTGGGGAGGTATCCACTACCATGCCCAGTTCATGTGGATTGAAGATGGGTGTTTTGTGCATGTTAGACAAGAGCTCTATCAACTGAGTTCTACCCCCAGATCAAGATGTAGTATCTTCAGAAATATTTAGCTGAAGCTCCAGGGAAGTCAGTATCCTATCACTGGAGAGAAAAGTCAACATTTCTCTACTAGAAAAATATTAGTAACTTTTTGCAATTGTTAAAGTTGTGTTTTTATTTCATTTTGCAAAAGTTGTTTTTTATAAGCTTTGCTGATGCTCAGAGCAAATACATAATGGACAAACATTCATATCTGTAGTTGGAGCAACTAAATAAAAATCATAAAGGAGGTCCCAGGCTTTGGCTCCAGTTTCTAGTTTATCTTTACAGTTTGGCCTATATAGCATGCTTAAGGCTAGACTGGGCTATAGCGGGGGACCTTATCTCAAGAAAATAAAATATGAGCTGGGTGGCACTGGCCTTTAATCCCAGCACTGGGGAGGCAGAGGCAGGTGGATCTCTGTGAGTTTGAGGCCAGCCTGGTCTACAGAGTAAGCTCCAGGACAGGTTCCAAAGCTACAGAGAAACCCTGTCTAGAAAAACAAAACAAAAAAAGAAAGAAAAGGTGATATGCCGAGCATGGTAGTATACACACACACACACACACACACACACACACACACAAACATAAACATTTTATTCCAGAACTCGGGGCAGGGATGGGGGAGCAGATAGATCTCTGCAAGTTGGAAGCCAGCCTGGTCTACATACAGTTCCCCACCAGCCAGACCTATATAGTAAGACCTTGTCTCAATTTTAAAGGAAAAGAAAAGACGTTAATTTTATTCAACTCTTCACTGCCCAAATCACCTTTGCTCTTATTCACAGGACTGAGAAGACTTTATAGCACATCCTCTGAAGCAGTAGTGTCAATCCAAGGCTCAGTTGCTCTCTGGGGAACATTGGACAACCTCTGAAGACACTTAAGAGTTTTCAGGTATGGGGATGGGGCTGGTAGAAGCCGATGGTACTGAGAAGCTCCTATGGTGCACAGGACAGCTCTCCTACAACAAAGAATTAATTGATTTTTCCAAGTCAATAGTGCTGAGAAAAAAAAAAAAAAACTCGCTTCTCAATTGAAAACCAGACACTTGTCCTCTGGGAAAAAACGTTTATAGGAAGCCATCCTGCTAGCTATGACGAGAAGGTCATTGCCAGGTACTGTTAACTAGCACAACACTAATACTCGGAGCAATTATTCGTTGGACCCAGATATCTGGGTTACAAGATGTCCTTGGCACAGGATGAGTGGGCCACAGCCTAATGTGGACAGATTTCATCCTCTCAAAACACAAGAAATGGTCCCTTTTTACCAGGCTAAGTATTAAATTGTTGAGCCTTTTAAAACAATAGCCAGGCTTAATAACATGCCTTTAATCCCAGCACCAGGGAGACAGAGGCAAGCAGATCTTTTGTTTGTTTGGTTGGTTGGTTGGGTTTGGGTTTGGGTTTGGGTTTGTTTGTTTTTCAAGACAGGGTTTTGTGTAACAGTCCTGACTATCCTGGAACTTAATTTGTAGACCAGGCTGGCCTCAAACTCACAAAGATTTGCCTGCCTCTGCCTCCCAACTGCTGGGATTAAAAGGTGTGTGCCACCACAGCTGAGAGGCGAGCAGGTCTGCCTAATGAATTCTAGGCCAGCTAGGGCTATACAGTGAGACTCTGTAAAAACAATTATGATAATATATGTGGTTATGTTCTCTTTTTTGGCAGAGTTTGTCTGTGTAACAGTCCTGGCTGTCCTGGAATTGGCTTTGTAGACCACCCTGTTCTTGGACTCACAGATATGCTGCCCCTGGGAAGCCTGCCTCTGCTTCCCATGTGCTGAGACTAAAGGCATGCACTGCCATGCCTGGCTGGCCGTAGTCTTAATATTGTCCTTAGCAGCTTTTATCACTTCTTGGGGCCAGCAATACACCTGACTACAATTTGCTTGTGATTTGTCTCAAATATAAGTAATCAACTGGTTGAGTTTGTATTCATTGTCTACTCAACAACCTTTAGTGTAGACGGTTTGTGATAGACCAGTCTGTTTACCAAGTAGCTTCCTGGGAATAAGGAAATTTCTTTGAAAAACTATGTTAAGTCAGCTGTTATTCCCATCTCGGCCTCTGGATTTCTCAGAATAGAGAAGACAGTCTTTTTCATTTTAATTTAGATACACTTGACTTCTTTTCAAAGTATACTACAAAGCTTACTTTGCAACAAAACATGTTAAATTTGTCTGTTACAGTGTTGGAATGTGTTATCTTAACTCATAAATGCTACTGTTCAGTCGTTATTACAGAATGATGGAGGAAGGTCATTGGTTAATTATAATAAACCAACTGCTTGGCCTCATAGCTTAGAACATAGATGGGAGGAGTAAACAGAATAGAATTCTGGGCGGAAGAGGAACTGAGGTCAGACTCTGCTCTGCTTCCGGAGAGACTCGACAGATCTGCTCTCTGGAGCAGAGACACCATGCTCCGCTTTCGACACAACATGGACATAGGCTAGAATCTTCCCGGTAATCGCACCTTGGGGTGCTTACACACATCATTAGAAATGGGCTAGTCCAGGTGCGAGAATTAGCCTGTAAGGGCTAGAGTTCATGGGCCAAGCAGTTCTTAAATGAATACAGTTTGTGTGTTGTTATTTCGGGCATGAGCTAGCCAAGCGGCCGGGGTGTTGGGGACGCAGCCCCGCCGCTCCTATTTCAACAACAGAAACAACAGCTCCTCTTACAAGAAAAGGAGCAGGAAAGCTTGACTCTACTGTTTACATGGCCTTCCAGTGAGTGGATTTCAGTGGTGCAGATCTGGATCTCACAAAATAATGTCCTGGGAACTGAATTTCATGGATCTTGGCCAAAAGAAATGACTGAGAAAGTAAAAATCAGCTCAGAGTAAGAAAGTGCACATTTTCCAGCCATTCATTAGGGCTGGAATGCTACACAGATAAAGCCAACTGAACAGGTAACAGAAAATATTCTCCCAAGGGACTTCTACAGCTAGAAAGTAACATAACAGCCAGCACCTTTGGGTGACTACTGCTCCCAGGCTGACTTAGAAACCTGTTTTTCTAAAATACCTGTTGAAATGATATCTTTCAGGATAAATCCTATGGGGATGGGTCTGAAGAAATGGCTCAGTGGTTAAGAGAACTTGCTTTTATAGAGGACTGAAGTTCAGTTCCCATCACCTACATGGGGTGGCTCATAACCATCTATAACTCCAGTTCTAGGGGATACAAACCCCCTTCTAACCTCTGTGGGTGCCTTCACATGCATGGCATACATAAACACAGACCACACAATGGGAATCATACCATACACTGCCAAATGAGGCAAAGGAGAGGATGATTGTGTGATGGAGGAAGGTCGTTGGCTAATAAAGAAACTGCCTTGGCCCATTTTGATAGGCGATCCCTTAGGTGGGTGGAGTAGGCAGAACTAAATTGTGGAATTTAGGGGAGTATTGGGGTGCTGGTGAAATTTAAGTGAATCAGTTTTGTAATAGACTCAAAGCGAGGCTGAATACAAAGGGCTCAGATTGGCTCTAAATTGCCCAATACAACTGTGAATTCCTTGAGCTCTACAGGGAATATATGTGAAATTTTAAATAAGAAACTCCAAATTAAAACCACCATGCCCTGGGGCTGGAAAGATGGCTCAGAGGTTAAGAGCACTGGCTGCTCTTCCAGAGGTCCTGAGTTCAATTCCCAGCAACCACATGGTGGCTCACAACCATCTATACTGACATCTGGTGCCCTCCTCTGGAGTGTGGGCATACATTGAGGCAGAATGTTGTATACATAATAAATAAATAAATCTTAAAAAAAAAACACCATGCCCAATTCTTTGTTTCCTACAGTTTTTTGAACAAGGTGGAATGAGTAAAAATCGAAGAAAACTCAAAATTCCCAACTAAAAGTAAACCTTAGAGAGAAACAATATTCCAGATGAAAATAGAAATTATAACTTGAATTTTATAATTGCTTTGTTAAGTGATGGGGTTGAGACAGGTTGTCATTATATAGTCCAAGCTATAAAGTCAATACTAATGACTATATAGTATTCACTGGGTAGCCCAGTCTGGCCTTGCTTTTGTATTACTTCTGCTTCCACTTCCCAAGTGCTGAGATTATAGGTATGAACCCCCATTCTTGTCTTAAAAACTTGACTTTTAGTCAGATGGTGGTGGCACACGCCTTTAATCCCAGCACTCCGGAGGCAGAGGCAGGCGGTCTCTGTGAGTTCGAGGCCAGCCTGTTCTACAAGAGGTAGTTTCTGGACAGGCTCCAAAGCTACAGAGAAACCTTGTTTCGAAAAAAAAAAAAAAAAAAAACCTGAGTTTTGCTTTGATATTTATGAAGGCAGAATAAATTAGTTCTTCTTAATGTTGTCAAAGATTATTAAAGGCTTGTGCCACCAAGATAGCTAAGTATAGGGAAATGAAACTGGACCTTGAAACCTGACATTGGGTCCAACATTTATCAGCCCTTGGAATCTCCACCTACTGCAGAAAAGTTGGACAAAATTGCCTTATATTTGGTAAAAAGTACCAGTCTGTCCTGCTGAATATCTGTAAAAGCCAGTTAGTTCCTCTTTATGATGTTGCATTCAATCAGTCTGACATTGCAGGTCATGATTTAGTTTTGCAGCATTAAGTCTTAACGGCACAGTATGTTTACAGAAGAACAAATAAATGGATTGAAGAGACCATGCACTGTCCTGTTGTGATGAGTCATGGCACTGACCCTTAGTCCATCTGTCTCTGGTATGTACTTGTAACAGCTCATTTATAGACATGCCTAGTCCTAGGCTGACCTCAGGCAAATATTAGATTGTGTCTCAGCCATTAACATTGTGGGCTCTGAATTCAGAAAAGCAAAATTAAATGAAGCCCAGTCTGAGTGAAACACTGCTTTATTTATTTTTTTTGTACACTGACTTTTATCATTTTTTGTGGTCAGTACATAAATCCCTTTCATATTTGTGAAGAATAAAGACTAATGGAGACAGAAGTCTGTCCTCCCTGAGAGATGTCACAGGGGATCAGATTCCACTTATTAAGGCGTGAGCGCTCAGGGCAAAATCATGTGACCTGGATTTTGTTTACATATGGGGGGGTGGCACATGACATTCTCAGTCATTCCAAGTGGTGTGGCCAAACTGACTGAGTGACAGCAGCTATGCCCTCCCCCATCTATAGTTCCCCACAGGTGGGTCATCTTTGGAAAAGAACACCAAGAGTACATGCTACTTCATCACCATGGTCAACTATGCGCCAAATGCTGATTTAAAAGGGGCGGGGGATCAGTGTTACTTTTTTTTTTTTTAGTTTTTCTAGACAGGGTTTCTCTGTATCTTTGGAGCCTGTCCTGGAACTAGCTCTTGTAGACCAGGCTGGCCTCGAACTCACAAAGATCCTCCTGCCTCTGCCTCCTAAATGCTGGGATTAAAGGTGTGCGCGCCACCACTGCCCGGCTCTTTCTTTGTTTTTTATTGATATTTATTGAGCTCTACATTTTTCTCTGCTCCCTTCCCTGCCTCTCCCCTCTCCCCACTGCTTTATTTTTTAATTAATTTTTTGAGCTGTAGACTTGTAACTTAAGCTGGCCTTGAATTTGCCGTGTAGCTGATAATGATCTTGAACTTCTGGTCCTCCCGCTGTCACCTCTGGAGTGCTGAGATTACAGGCACGTGTGACCATGGCCAGCTTTTTCTTTTTTTTTTTAATTCTAAAAAGCCAAAATATCCCCTGTTGTATTAGTTAGAAGTGATTTGGCTTCCAAGTCTAAAAAACCTGGCTGCTAGGGTACAGGGCTTTGCTTCTCTCAGATAACAAGGTGTCTGAAGCTCTTGGCTGTTAGGGATTGGGTTGGGTATCTTAGCTTTACCAGAGTCCTCTGCTTCATAACCTAATGATCACACGATGGTTGCAACCCTACACTTGGCATGAACTAGAGGGAAAGAAATGGGTTCAGGAGATTCATCCTTTCATTATAAAACAAAACTTTCCCAGAAGCCCTCCCAACAGGTTTCTACCAGTAGTTTCCAGTTAGCAAAAAGCACTCAAGGGAAGCTAGGAAATGAAGGCCAAGTGACAGTGAGAACATGAACTGCTGTGGGGTAGCCTGCAAGAACGTGAGCACATGTGTTAACTGTTTTCTTAATCAGGTCTATTCAGTAGAACATGGGACAGCAGAATGAAGGAAATTTTTGCAAGGATTCCACCTGAGATGAGCACTCAGACACAGTATATAGCTTATTGAAAATCCTTATTCCAGCCTGCTACGACTACACTCAGGGATAGCCCTGAGCATTTAGACCGAGGGCTTTTAAAGGCAAAAACCAGGTATTGTTATCTCATTCAGCTGCAGGGGAAGTTTGCACAAGTAAGCAGTTTTACTGAAGCTAAAATAAGCTATTGGCTAGAGGGGGAAGTTTGCACAAGCAGACAGTTTAATAGAAACTAAGATAAGATGTTAGCTGGAGGGAGAAGTTTGTACAAGCAGGTAGTTTAACAAAAGCTAAAAGAAGCTGTTAACTGGAGGGAAGGTTTCCACAGCAGGTGATTTAACAGAAGCTAAGTTAGCTGGGGCATTTTGACCTCAGGTTCCTAGAACAGGGTTGGGTAGTTTTCCATGGTATTCTACATAGAGATCAGATTCTAGTTAAACCTGAAATGCAGTAAGAATACAAGATAGAGGAACTGTCTTTCCCTGTCACAAAATCAAATCCATTCTGTCATGGGGACTTCAAAATCCTGGTTCCATTTATTTCCCCAAATTATAAATCACACATGCCATTGAAGCTTTGTTTACTAATACTTCCTTTAGTGCCCTCTGTGGTTGAACTCAATTTAAGTCCCCATTTCCTTGCATTTGCTCATGCTGCCAACTCAGCT